TAAAATCAAAACTAATATCATAGATCTTCAATTCCCACCTTCTATCAAACCAGCTCCTAGACCAAGGATCCAACATGCCATGCTCCAGCCCCACACAAGTGTTTTGGCGCACAGTTATTCTCCGTTTATACGAACTATTCGGGTATAGAATAAACTGTCAACTCAAACAGTCCAAGCTAAGAACATTACTTCTTTTAAATCATTAGCCATAAGGGACATTCAGAACATGAAGACCCCAAACCACCTGAAAAGATCTTGAACTATTTACATTTATTGTTTCTTTGTTTCTTTATTGTTTTCTCTGACTTCACATATTTATCGTAGATTATTAGCACTACAAATTAGTTATTCTATATCTCCCAGCGTCAGCCTGGCTATTTGGGAGTACAAGTTCCAGGTACAAAATATTTCAACCCTCTACTTTTCTTCAAAGCAGGATATTGGTTCACCCTGATATGTATCACAACTTGTTTTACTGAATAATTTTTTAAAGATAAGGATTCTCAGGTAGATTGAAACAAATTTGACAGTTATGATTTGCTTAACACACAGTGTCACAAGCATGCAATTTTACATCCGTCCAGTTTACTTGTACGGTATATCTACCCAAGATAACGATAAAGAATATTTTATTTTTCTTCTTAAGAAAATACTTTTCAGTTAACAATGTATTGAACAAGACTCCTGCAGGTGGGATTCTTCGTATAAATAATAAACTGATTTCATCAGAAATATTTATGTCGTAAATCATTAATCATGTATAATTCCTGATACAGCAAAGTTAACCAGACAACAGCTAATATGTTAATTTTGAAAACTCCGGGTCCTCAAAAGCTTGCTAGGCAAACATGGACGCGCGAAGCCTCAAAATGGCTATAATAACTCTAGGTTCCAGCCTTGTTTTGCTAGTATCTGCAGATGAGAGAAATTTTACATGTGGTAAGTTATACAGCTACTTACTTTATTGAAGTATTCATGCTTGGAACAAAACCAAACCCTGAAAAAACCGAATGAGGTAAATTGTGTTAGTTTAAGAACGGTTCTAGTTTTCTCAAGATCATCTTGACAATTAGCACCATCTTACCACACCGAAACCACATTAAGTGGAGGAATCAGATTAAATTACAAGCTATTCTCTTCGATATCTGTGCCGTTTCGGGGGGGAAATTAAGTTAATTCACTCTTCTTCATTTTGTTAATTAAGCGTGTCAAAGTGAATTATTTTTTGAAGCTTCAGTTAAACCAATACGCGGGATAGGAGAAATTTTGGAAAAAGGTCAGCAGAGCTACAAACCACAAAATCAGCAAAAGAAACCCACAGGATATTGTAAAGAATTTAACGATAAATTGTTCAACGCTTAATGATAGAAGCATACTAACAGAGGAAGCTGGTTTCATGAAGCTCTGTAGCTGTTTAAATCATGTTTGTTTTCTTCCGGGTTTGCTACTTGAATTTTGTAAAATAGATCTTTTTACCTTATTTCTTTTTCTGTTTGTCGCCAAATAGGATTTATAGATAATGGAAATACTGAAGAATATGAGGCGTTGAAGTTTGCTGTGGCTCATAGTAATACAAAAAGCAACATCTCAATAATATTAAAGGTTTTTAATACATCAACCTCTGTTGGCCTATTTGACCGAGGTAAGAAATCTTGATAAAGGGTATATCATTCTTTCTACGAGATTTGGATAATAACCTTCATATAAATACTACCATAACATGAGTCATCAATCATGAGATCACAAAACAGGAGAATGAACCTACGATAACATTATATATATTTTATGTATAATTCCCTATTAAAAATTATATATTCTAACCAAACTGGTTGAGGACAGTTTTTCATATAAGGTACAAATAAAGATATTAGTTACGCCTGTTCGGTTAATCATTACAGCAAATTTAATAAGATGTAAAACAAAATTAAGGAGCTTGGGACAAAAATAAAACTCATTATAAATAAAAGAGCTGGCATGAGTACAAGACTACTGAAATATTTAACAACCGTTACTAAAATGAACTCAGTAAAATGGATGTTAGATAGCTGGTATGGTTACAAGGCAATTTAAAAGGTTAAACATCATTCATTGCAGCTGTTTCAGTGATTCGCCAACAAAACATCACCACACTCATTGAGGGAAGCTATTCAAGAGCCTCTGCATGCGCAATCTCATTGGTAATGGGTGTTTCTGTAATACGTCTCCCTGGAAGCGGCGTGCAGTTTGACCAATGTGAGAGAGCAGTGGATATGTCAGCGGGATACAGATATTTCGCGCATGCAACATTTGATGTACTGAGCATACTGAAATGGAGGAGACTTCTACTGATCTTTGATGGTGATTTGAATATACTAGCATGATGCTATGACAGAGAACCCATCAATCAAAATAAGAAAACCTCTATACCTGTAGTTGGTGTTCAAACCGATACCCCACGATTCTTTGCGTGAAGTACACCGCTCATGTTATTTTTCCCATTACTATTTTTTGCCATACTACCCTCCTATTCTCACTTTTTCTTGCCAGGAATCTTCAGGGTGTATATTCTTACTTTCCCGGGATAGTGGCAAGTTAAGCTTGTGTTTCAAAATTTAGCCTTGATACGGCTCTTTTTATCTGTTTACATAGAGAGTCGCTTTGTTGAGGCTGGATATTTCTATCTCAACTATAAGAAGTCAACACTCACCATGGATATAATCCAGATGGCGGAGATAAAAGACGCCGAAGAGAGACAAAAAAAAATTTGGCAAATAATAGGACAGATACAAAGCTACCAACCGGAGGGTATTCTACTCTACACAGGAAAAGAAAACACAGATTTGATCCTGCAACAGGTTAGGGAAGTTATCAAATATCCATACTTATTAATTTGATAATCTGTTCTTGTTGTCCTTCAGCAGCATAGTTAAAAAACATACAAACTGTTTCAATGAGGCTTTAAACTGTTGTCTAACAGTAACATTTAAAATCCAAGCTTTCGCCGATCAATGGCATCATCAGTTGATCAACGAAAGCTTGGATTTTAGATTTTACTTTTAGACAGCAGCTTAAGGCCTCATTGGAACAGTTTGTATGCATTAACTTCATTTACTAAAGTAGTGGATGTGAGGATCGACACCAGCTACAACATTGTGCTGACTATAACAATTGCTTCTTTTTTCTACGAAGAACAATTTCTCATTTTCACTTTTAAGGCTGATCTCTCAGTACGACCGTGAGGTACTGATAACAATTAAGGTACGTTTAAGGCTGATCTCTCAGTACGACCGTGAGGTGATTGTGAATGATCTACTCAGTGCCACGTTCGATCTTCTTTTTTCCAGAACTCGTGCAAAGTCTCTTAGCCTTCAACAGTTTCACTATCCATAAAGTATGAGCTGAAGATACGTTATCAAAGTTTCTGCTCACCATCGTTACCAGAAATCAAGAGATTTTCTCCTGCAGAAGTACATTAGGTTTTGTTGGGCAAAAAAAATGTTGTAGTCAGTAAAAGTTACGAAGGAGTCATGCACAGTTACAGTTTTTGAATTTTATTTGTGTCAGGTTCCTTGTCAAAGACATTTTCCGTATCAGTGGATACTCCAAGAACAGGTAACTAACTTGAGTAGGCAGGACTTAAAAGCGTTTTGCTCTTGATTAAGAGTGAAATACTAAGACTTTGAACATGATTTTTACTCGCTTGTTTGCACAGGTATCCCAAAACCAGAGAAGTATTCCCGACCATGTAGTCCTGGCATTTAAGCTCCCATTTAAAAGCAGCTTTGTTGATAAACACTTTGGATCATCAGAACAAGGAAAATTCAAATC